TTTTTTTGCTTTTTTTGTTTATTGTTATAATTGCTATATCTATTTCCGTAATTCTTTTATGTTTTTTTATTAATTTGTGGTATACTTTTTTTTTGTTTTTTTTTTCAAACCAGATTAACAGATTATGCCTATATACTATTTACAACTTGTATTTACACATTTTAACATGTTTGTAAATGCAATGAAGAATTTTCATACTATTTAAAAATATCAAAAGATTAAGGTTTATTGAAAAACAACACTTAGAATTTATTAATTCCTTATAAATTATAGTTTATTCGTCTTCCGGGTTTGGACCGTGTCATTTGTGAGTGACCCAAAAGTGGGTTCATCTCGACGTTTCGCTCGACAATTGTATGTAGCTTTTTCAGGAGAACAACGAAAAAGAAATCAAAAGACAGGAAGATGGGTAGTTAGCAACGGTAACTCAGTTACTCAACGCAACCAGAGGCGAATACTAACTACCAAGATGGGTATTTAGTCACAGTAACTCAACTACTTAACTCAGCCAGAGGTGAAAACCAAATGCCAGGACAGGGATTCACGTCCAACAGCTCAGAACACTAACGCGTCGAGAGGCGGGGATTCACTCCCCGCCTCTCGACGCGTTAGTCGAAAACGATCAACTTTAGAGAAAAAATTACAATTAACCTTTTTTATTCAGAATCTAAAAAATTCATTGATCCAAAAAATGATAAAATATTAAAAACGATTGTTCACAAAAAAAAAATAAAATTATAAAACTACATATTTCACTAACGCAAAAACTAGTTCGTCTCTGTTTCGCTACGAGAACACATTGAAGAGAACTGCATGTTTTTAGCAATGCCTAATTTCGTTGTTTCGTTCGTAGATCGACGTCACTAAATGATTACGTCAGGTCCACGACATTATGAATTATCTTTACCCATCTTCCTGTCTTTTGATTTCTTTTTCGTTGTTCTCCTGAAGAAGCTACATACAATTGTAGCGAAACGTCGAGATGAACCCACTTTTGTGTCACTCACAAATGACACGGTCCAAACCCGGAAGACGAATAAACTATAATTCTGACTCTGGCCGTGGAAGCCTACGATTTCATTCTTTATTAAGTTTGTTTATATTATTAATTTGTAAATCACATTCTAATATAATATGTGTTAGATCGACTATATTCTGTTAGAACCATCTTCTACATACGTCTCTCAGTTAGGGGCGCAAAATCAATTTTAACTCAAATTTGTAATAACGATACAGTCTTCTTCTTCTTCTTGATGTGCCTATCCGTTACGAATGTTGACGATCATCATGGCAATCTTTATCCTATCTGCAGCATAGGTGTCGATTATATTCGACAGGTCCCCATCCGATGAAAGGTGGATCTAGCTTTTCCGATGCGTGCTCTAATCTCCTGGTTGTTTGTCCATTCTTCATTTATTATGGTGCCTAGGTAGTTATAGTGCGTCACTCTTTCTACAGGAGATTGGTTGACGTATAGTTGTACTTTTGTTATCCTTTTCTTGCTAATTATCATAAGGTTTGTCTTCTTAACGTTTATATTGAGTCCATATTGTTGACTGTAATACGTGATTTCATTCATAAGAACATCGGTCTTCTAAGTTGTCCGCAACTACTGTGGTGTCATCTGCATATTTAATGTTGTTTAGCCGGTAACCATTTAGTAGAATACTTTTTCAGTTTCGTACAAAGCTTCGATAAATATTATTTCAGAGTTCAGATTGAATATTAGAGGAGACAAAATACAGCTCCACGCATGATTTTCACATAGTCAGTGTTTTCACCTTTAACTCTGAGATTTGCTGTCTGATTCCAGTAAAGATTTTTAATTATTTTCAGATCTTGGTGTTAATTCCTGCTTCTTTTAGTATTTGCATCATCTTGGTGTGCTGTACTCGATCAAATGCTTTCAAGTAATCAACCAGATATGCGTCTACGTCGCAGTTGACGTCTCTGCATGTCTAGAATAAGACTTGTACTGAGAACAGAGTCTCTCTAGTACCAACAGCATTTGTGAACCCGAACTGGTTGGCGGAAATTCGACTTTTACACAGCTTGTAGATTCTCTTATAAATTATCTTTAAGAACTCAATATCTTCTGGTCAGAGTATATTATCGAGACATATAAAAATACGTTTTAAAGGCGAAGAGTGCAACTTCCGTATGAAGTTTGTGTATATTGCCGCAAATGAAGTCGGTTTTTATGAAGGTGTCAAATAAATAAACATTGATTGGTAAACATCGAGTTTTGAAAACAAATATGAGCTAAATTTAAACTTTACCATTACAAATGATTTTACATCATGGCAAAGGTCTCCACGAAGGCGGTACCGTATATTATTTGTAACTAAAGCTGTATAGTTTCGAAAAACGTAATTGTGCGATCAAAAAGAAGCTGTAAACGTTTTAGATTGTTTATTATGTGAAAGTGTAAATTCAGAGTTTTTTAGGCATATCTAAATTGCTTCACATTTATTGCCAAAATTAAAAACCGAAATTTTATGGTATAGATTTTAAATACTTACTCTCTTATTAATAAACACGGACTAACCTTGGACTAACATTAGTCCCAGGACTACACCAATAACATTCATTTTTCGTATTAATAAACAGCGACTAAGGACAGACTAAGCTAAACCTTGGCTAGTCTCTGACTAACATTTAATCCGAGGTAGTGGCAGGTTTAGAGAGTGACTAACTTGACAATTGAAATTGAGTTGAGTTTCGTTTTGGTATTCATAACCTGAATTGTTTTTGATTATTCATACATTACTTAATAGTGGAAGATTATTTTATCAACGACTTAAGATTAATAGAACAACTTAATGACCATAGAAATCAGTGAAATAATATTCATCTAAGACATATTAAAATATATAAAATTTATTTAATAAAATATTTTACAATTCATTATGTTTATTAGTATTTTTTATATTTTCCCTTTGTAATAAAATACTTTTTAAAGTTTCCTCCTGAACTTTTATAAAGTTTAATTTTTTCAGATAAAAAAATACTATAAAATATAAACAAACTTTTTCAGAACACAGTCCAACTAAAATTAACTCTACGTGCTCCAACTTATGCTAACTGTCAAATTCTCAAATATTTTTCTTCTTTTTCACAAAATTCTCTCCATTTTTCTTCTTTTTCGCAATGGTTGCCAACATAAACTTGTTGTACCTAGGACTAAGGAAGGTTTAGTTAGTCTGAGCTTAGTCCATGTTTATTAATAACATTCTGAAAATGAAGTTAGTACTCGCTTAATCTGGGACTAACTAGTCCGAGACTAACTTCGGACTAAGCAAAATTTTATTATTAAGACTGTAAAAGTTTAAAAAAATAGAAATTCCATAGTGACGAGTCAATAAAAGTGATAAATTTTATTGATCGCATGAGAATCATAAAATCTCACATCTTTATTAACTGATTTTATTTACGACAAAACAAAGATTACATACGAAAGCTGCACTCTTTATCTTTACAACGCATTTTAAAACAGTTTGTCGATAAGACACTTTGTTAATTGATTAAAAGATATCGAATTTTTATCGTCGAGTTATTACAAATTTTATTTAAAATTGATTTCGCGCGCTAACTGACATTCAAAAGCACCCGTCGCTTCAAGCGTTGTTTCTGAGAGAATGGTACATTTTACCCAAAAAATGCTGATAAAAATTTTTGTTTAAAATTATTTCAGCTGCACTTTTTATGTAAAATATTTTTTCTAAGGCGTACAGATTTTTGATAAATCTATTTTTGACATTCTCAGCCAAATTCAGCTTGTCCGTATAATTTTAGAGGTTCAGTATTGTTTTCGTATAAAGGATACTACGACTGGAATATATCAGGAACTATTTTTTAAATAGGTGTGAGGTCTGGCTATTAAATAACGAGACTGCGTGCGCAGAAGGAATCTGAGAGGGGAAGACTGGGAAGTGTCTACTCTTCCAGTACGAAAACACGTTTTTGTCGCTGTAGTAGTATTTTTTCTGTAGAGGTTCGAACAAAACCTGTTTTTTTCTCTCGTGTCAATAACAATGTTTGACGAAAAACATGAGCAACGGATTAATGTGAAATTTCTCGTTAAAATTAAAAAAAAAACTGACTGAGTACTATAATTTGTTGTAAGAGGCCTATGGGGAGAATTCTCTATCTCGTGCGCGTTTCTTCGAATGGTATAAACATATGGTTTTCTGAAGGCTGAGAGAGCGCCGAAGATTACCAATGTCCAGGTCGACCTGTCTCTGTTTCAACTCCGCAAACAGTGACCAAAATAAATGAAATTGTGCGCGAAGATCGTCGTATGAGCATTCGGATGATTGCTCAGACTGTAAACGCCGATAAAGAAAACTGTCAGAAAAATTTTACATGACGAATTGAACATGAAGAAAGTCTATGCGAAGTTAGTCCCAAAAAATTTGACTCCTGACCTAAAGCTCGTCCGTCAACAGATCTGCTCAGATTTTCTTGAGAGGTTACATGACTGGAAAACCTGCATCGCCAAAATGAAAAAAGCAAAGATGTCGAAATCAAAATTTAAAGCCATGCTAATCGTTTTTTTCGACATTAACGACATCGTGATGACTAAATGGGTTCAAGAGGATCAAACTGTGAACCAAACTTACTATTTGAATGTTTTGGCAACGCTGCGAGAGCGAGTTTCGTAAGAAATGGCCGGAGTTGTGGAAAATCAAGCCGTGGATCTTGCACCAGGATCCCAGCGTTTTATGGGCACCTGCCCATAATATATGCTGTCTGTGAAGCGTTATTTAGCCGCTAGAGGCATTGCTTTGACTGATGGAAAAAAACGAATGGAACGGTGTGTGGCGAGGGAAGGGGAATATATTAAAGGAGAGCATTCGATCGTAGAATAGTTATTAAAATAAAACTCTTTTTCATAAGAAGTCTCGTTATTTAATAGCCAGACCTCGTTTAACTGTGAAGAATAATTGGTATTCAAATACGTTTGATATTGAGATATTGAAATATTTTGTCCTTTTCAGAATTTGCGCAAGGTTTACAAAAAAGGAGAAAAAGGTCATATGTTTAACAATTCAATATCACCTAGAGGAAATCTAAATGTAGCTATAAAGTCTTTCTCATTGGCAATAGATGCTAGCGAAGTATTCGGTCTTCTTGGACACAATGGAGCTGGAAAAACAACAGCAATGAAAATAATTACAGCCGAAGAATCACCAACTCGTGGAAGGGTAAATGTAGTTTAATTATACTCGGTTCTTTTGACCACTTTTTAACATTTATCTTTCCATCTCCGTCTGGGGGTTAAGTAGTATGAGAGGAAGTATGTACCGAGTGGTCCAATACGCCGATCTCTTGGATATATATCAAAAACTATTCATGCTATATCTTTTTGTGTACTTTTTTTCAAATAAAGGGTAGTGGAGAGTGGGAAAGTATTTGTGGATAAATACCTATAAATAGGTGTTTTTATTAAACATTTTGAAGTAAAACAAATTTTAATTTTTTCTGTTGGAAAGTACCCTCTACCCATGACAATTAAAACTTAATGCAATTGCTTTATAGTAGATGTGAATTAAATCATCCACACTCTTTCTAATGATACTAATTTCGTTAAAATCAGTTGATCCAAACCAAAAATTTTAATATGTACTTTAATTTTTCTAATGTGGTGTAAGTAAGACTTATTCTTCTATAAATCTCATGTGTCTGGTTGTCTCTTTCGATGCATATTTTATGTCCAAATACTTACTAGTGCTTGAGTGATATTCCTCCTCCTCCTAAGTGCCTTCTCTATTGAGGTTGGCGATCAATATGGCAAATTTCTCTCTGTTCTGGGCTTGATGGATTAAGTCATTTTCTGTTGTGTGAGTCCAATCTCTGATGCTTCGGAGCCAGGATTTCTTCTTTCTTCCTATACCCTTTTACCCTCGATTTTGCCTTTTAATATTACCTGGAGCTGCTCAAATTCCTTATGGCGCATTATGTGTCCTAGATATGACGTCTTTCTAATTTTGATTGTATTAACCAGATAAGGTCGTGTGTTCATTATTTCCAGTACCTCTTCATTTGTAGTTTTGCTGGTCCAGCTTATTCTTAGCATTCGGCGGTACATCGACATTTCGAATGAATTCAGTTTGTTGACGTCATACTGTTTTAATGTCCAGGTCTCACAGCCATATAGTAGTAGAGACCACACATAACACTTTAGTGTTCTTAACCTTATTGTGATTGATAGCTTGGGGTTACAGAGCATTTTACGCATGTTCATGAAGCCAGATCTTGCTATTTCAATACGTCTTCTAATTTCTTTTGAATGGTCTAGCTGACTGTTTAGCTCTCTGCCCAGGTATATGAAGCTTTGGGAGCTCTGATGGGTGATACCATTGATTTGTATGTTGGGTGTAATTTGTTGAGTGCTATTAATGTTATTTATTTGTAGATAAGCATTAGTCCCTCGATTTGTCATGATTGGGTTTTTGAAATATTCTTTTTGAAACCCACGTTCTTTGCTATCTTTTAATGAATAGAAAGACAAATATATGGCGCAAGAGCACTATTTGTCAAACGTTTCGTGCATGAATTGGTGTCAATAGGATCCTATAACGTTATTTCAGCAACCCAGCATCGTCAGAGATCCGGCAGCATACAATTTACACACAGAATAGCTAGCAAATGCTAGAAGTGAAAAGCTACACAAGTGGCATCTACTTTGATGACCATAAAAAAAACGATTAAATCGTTTTCTGTCTCTCGAGCTATTCGAAATTTGCAAATATATAGAAAAATCGCTTAGCTCTCGCTGTGATGAATTAAAAGTATGGTATAATATGGTGCATGAGTACGTCATTTTGTAGCTCTTTACTTCAATTGAAAAATAAGCAAGGACATTCGCTAGCGGTTCTGTGTGTGAATTGTATTTACCCGGATCTCTGAAGATGCAGCGTTATGCTTAAATATCGGTATAGGATTCTATTGATACTGATACATACACGGAATTTTTGATGTATTGTTCGGATCAATTTTTGCGGTCAGGTAAGTAAAACTAAGTTGTCGGAACGAACCGCGTTGAGAATTTAAAACTCGACAATTCGGCACCCATTTTGGAGCCATTATCAAGAAGGATATGGTTCCGTTCGAGTTCGGGGTCTCAATCTGCCTCTGTCATGTTGCTGGCAGTCTTTTAGTTAGTTTTACTTTTTGCTATTTCGAAATCTATTTTGTTTTTCTGACCTGTCCGAATATGATGTTGGGCTAGGGCTGAAGTAGTATCGGAATATTTTAGGTACATATTATATAGAATGTTTGTAAATACGGTTGTGGATTCTTCGGTTTGTCTGTCCTATGTATATTCTTGAGCAACTGGAATAAGGTAACTCGTTGAGACTATGGTCTTCATTGGGGATTTGGTCTTTTACGGATCTGACGAGATTGGACAACTTGGAGTAAGTAGTGAAGATCGTTTTGATGTTTAGAGAGTAAGGAGATCTACTGATCTTCTCAGTCACACCTTTGATGATAGGTACATATATTTTGGGTTAATCAAGGTTTTTTTTTTGATGGAATGGGATTTAGATGTTTTTAAATGCTCCTATCGATTTGGGTTTTGTGGTAGCCGTTTTCTAAGAGTGTTTTGCATATTGAATTGATTTCGAATGATCTGTGATTTTCGTTACTAAGTCTAAAAATGTTGATAACTAAATTGAGTTATGCAGGGTGATGGTGTGACTGGGCATGAAGATAACGGCTTGTATAAGTGGGTTTCCGGTACACAAAATAAGAAAAATTGTAAGGTATGTGTTTCCGAATAAGAACATCAAGGATTGGCAAAGATGTTTCAGTCTCAAGTTCCATCGAGAATTGAATACTAAGGTGTATTACATTCAGGTAAGAGAGCAGAAGATCTAATATGTCTTTACCGTGGGCCCAAAATGACAAAGGTGTCATCAACGTACCGTACAGCAGGAGTTTAGATTGCCAGAGGGCTGTGTTTTAAAAGTTGTAGATTAGATTAGTGAGAGAAGATACCATTGGGGCACTTTTGATTTGACGATAGAAATGATTTTGGAATAAAAAGTATGTATTAGACATGCAGTGTTTTATAAGAGATAATGTTTCTTGGAGGATTTGATGTTTAAAGCCAAGATGAAAATAATTTCATCAATAGAAATGTTGACGAATAAAGAAACAACGTAAAAACTAACTAGAATATCTGAGGGTGAAACAGAAATGTTTTCCAAAAGATAAGTTAAATGGAAAGAAATTTTAGACAAAGAAAAGAGGTGTTTTCGGTTAATGATTGTAAGGATAAGGCGAGATGTTTTGCTAATTTCTGAGTGTACTGATAAAAGTTGGGTGACATTGGGCTTTATAGACAGGCCATATTTTCTTGGAAGTCGGGATGATTTTTCTCTGGGTATAAGAGATTTTATAGGTATGGGTATAAGAAAATATCCATACGGAGTTTGGCGGGTATTTGCGGCGACACATATTTATTACCTATAGTATACATAAAGAGGCCCAGGTCGAAGAAGAACATCCTGGATCCGAAATATCCGATATTAGTATCAAGAGACATCTGGTAATCTGTTTCGGTAATCTACAATTTGCGAGGTTGTTAATGTGTCCGTTTTATTTTTTTGAACATTATAATAATATTAGCATGCGATGGAATTTTCCTCTCAAAAAAACTTTTTAAAATATAGTCTTTAAGGCTTCGATAAGATCTTTCTTTTTAACTGACTCTATTATAATGCTATCTTCCTTCTGCCTTCTTTTTGATCTCATTCAGAGCTGATAATATCATCTCTTGTTTTGTCCAAATTGATATGTTTGAAATAAAAATATTGGAATTTCCATTAAAAGGTAAAAATAGATCAATATTGTTTTTATTTAGGTACAGATTGCTGGAAAAAACATTGTCTCCAGTGTTAATGCAGTATTCCAGTTTTTGGGCTACTGTCCACAATATGATGCACAATGGAAAGACATAACCGTTGAAGAACATTTGGAATTATATTCTCGTATAAGAGGTGTTCCTGATGATTTTATTGAACCAACAATTGATTTTTATTTAACGGGTCTACAACTAAAAGAACATAAAGACAAGAATGCCGAAAACTGTTCTGGAGGTACCAGGAGAAAGCTCAGTTACGCAATGGCTATGGTTGGTAATCCAAAAATAGTTCTCCTTGACGAACCTAGTACTGGAATGGATCCGCAAAGTAAAAGGTTTTTGTGGGATACTATTTTATCTAATTTTAGGGTGAGACATTTTATTTTTACTACGCTTTTTCTTAATTTATTTTGCTTAATCTTATTTTAGTTTTATAATATGCCGTTAAAATAAGTTAGGTTATATTTATTTGATTAAATATTATAATTTTAAGCTAGATATGGTTCGTAAAAATATTGCTTGCTTATATACCTTGCTTTTGAACGCAGCAATCAGATACGAAATTGTTCCTTTCAAGGAAAGGTTCAATTTCACTAAAGCAAAATAGAAAAAAATTCGCTAAAGCATTAGATCAAGACGTTTCCCAGCTAGAACCGTGCTCTGATTTATATGATAAATTTGTACAAATCGTAAAACAAATATTACGAAAATATATTTCTAGCGGTTGCCTAATCGAATACATAGCCTATACGAATACACTTCTAAATGGAGAATCTAAACCCCTTCTTAAAAGATACGTGCAGCTATTTAAAGATTATACCTTTTCGGAAGCAACAATACAGGCCAGGGAGAAAGTGTTACATCCGATATCCGCCAACAGGTAGTGTCTTTAATTAATATGGAATCTTGGCAACCATCCCTCCGCCCTGGTACCTAATCTGACAAAAGTCACACCCGATCAGATAGTCCATCGTCTCCTGACAAATGGCAAGACGACATAAAGAAAGAACAAAGTGAGAGTACAACGAAATATCGACAAAGAAAATGATGTTCTAGGTACCTCCTTTTGTCTGGAGAAGATAAAAGGTACGATCCACCAAATGAAAGATAATAAAGAGGCTGGCTTTGACGATATACTAACAGAACAGATAAAGCACTTTGGACCAAAAACCCTATAATGGTTCGTAAAAATAATGACCTCTTGCATCCGTACATTCCAAATCCCCAAAATATGGGAGACAGCTTGAGTGGTGGCCCTCTTAAAGCCAGAAAAGGATCCAATAAATACAAAGAGTTTTAAACCTGTCTCTCTTTTGTGTCACCTTTCCAAAGCGTTTGAAAGAATGATACTAAACCGGATTGCTGAATCGGTGGACACTAAAATTATTCCTGAACAAGCAGACACGTCACGTTAAATGCTTCGGCTTTCAGTTCAGGGGAACTGATAATCTGATTGTTGATCAACAGATGTGAAGGTCGAGAAGTTTTTTGTTCTGTTGGGACTTTTTTAATTTTTAACACGTATCCTGCAAAACTAAATTAACTCTACGCGCAAGACAGAGAGTAAATAAAGCTTGCGGTGCAATAGTTTTAACTTTTGCCAGGAGACCATACAATTCACCAGACAGTACGGTAGCGCCGTCATAAGTTTGCCCTACCAATTTGTTTTTGATATTAAAAAAATTTAATGTCCTTTAAAACACCAAATATTCTGCCTTATAGCTTTAACTAACGTCTTTAAAACCTAAAATCCTTTGTAAATATTACCACGTAACGCGTATCAAATACCAATACCGCAATATATCGGTAGTTTCATCTTCTTCAAGTGAAAACCACAGGGTTCACTGAATCTCATTCAATAACGTTATTCAAAGTGTTACTAATTGATTCTATTAATTTATTTAGTATTATTTTAGATTCGTTGCTTAATGACTTCGAATTAGAAAGTAAATTAGAAAATTCCAAATCGTACCTATATCTTAAACATGTTTATTAGTTCTCTATAATTACTTTGATTTAACGAATACTTCGATTCATTGTGTCCTCTAAATGATAATTCGTGATAACTTAAAAAATTACAATATCGATTAAATGACGTAAAACTACGTAAATATTTTTTACAATTTCGTTATGTTTTATAGCATTTCCACGTTGGGCATTATCTAATGAAACACAGATATTTTGTTGTTTAATAAATTGAATTTAATCTGACAGTATGTATGATCTTTCGAAATATTACGTTGCTGTAAAGCAATAAATAATTTTTTTAAATTATCGTAACCAGATTCACACCACAGATGTTGATGTTTGCCCCTATTTCTCAAAAATAAGATGAAGGGCCCACAAAAAAGTTTGTTTTCACTTCCACCAAGCCATGAGTACTTGCTATATCAATTATTCAAAAATAATCTATTACTTTCTTTACCCCTGGACTAATATTTATAAGCCGGGACATTTTTGGCAAAGTACGCCCTTTATTTCTAATATCAATTTGTTCTTCGTATGCTATAAATGAAAACCCATTTTGCAACATATAATTTACATATCAGATACATCAGTACTTACAGTTTCTTCCATATCTTGTATTTTTTGGTTAATTATTTTAGTTAATTTACCTAAATTTGTTTACACTTTAATTTTTAAAAAGAAAAAACTTCAAATATATCAAAAAACCCTTTAAACATTACCGCAGCGATAACTTATCACAGTATTACTTTGTAAAATCAAAATAAATCAATACGAAACAAATGGTATGAAAGCAGAGTAAACAAAGTAAACAATGTATAAAAATGGTGTGAAATGAAATAAATAAATACAAAAAAATTCTTCCTATTATACTTATACTTATACTTATATACTTATAATAAAAAAATAAAAAAATAAAATATTTCCCTATTGTATAATCAAATTAGCTTGCTATGAAGTCAATTTTATATGAAAATAATGTTGCAAATATTGAAATATCAAGACGAGATGATTCAATTACTTACATTAACAGAAGCATCGAGGTCGTCTTGTGTCCAATCAATGTCTGCTACCAGGGGCTTTGCTGGGTGTTCCTTTCGAAGAATCCTGTTGAATGAGAACGGCTCGTAGATTCTTTTTCCGTTAAGGGATAGGGATCCGCCGTTGCTAGTTAGTTTACTTATTCTATCAACGTTAGCCGGATCCTACTGACTGCGCTAATTGTTATATCACTTATTTCTTCAAATCATGAATGTGTTGCTTGTGTGAGTCCATATCAAATAGGTAAAGAAATAATAATAAGACTTACTCACAATCAATTTAATTTAACAATCAGACGACCGGTTTCGCTTTCTACAATTTGCAAAGCATCTTCAGGTCTAGATACAAAGTTAAACTAATGCTGCAATAAAATAAACCCAATTAGGGTGGTGTCTAATAAAGATAAAATAAACAAATAAGTTAGTTCATACAAATTATAGTAATTATGCCAATATTACATGTCTGTGGTTTTCAAAATGAATAAATTTGAATATATAAAAGGTATTAACAGACAAGGTAAGACCCACAATTGGTATAAAGTAGTAATATTATATTGTAATAAATTAATAAATGAGCAGATAAATAAAACAAAACAAACATTACTTACATGCCGGTACTCTATTAATTGATGGATGGTAGGTCATGGTTGCAAAAATCATGTATTGTTGATTGGAGAACTTTAATGTGCTATTGCAGTTGTTTTGACAATAAACGGGAAGTTCTTGAGGAGAACAGATTTGATCCAATGAATTAGAGATAGATATATTGTGGTTGTTTGTCAAATAAAAGTGATGTTTTTACTATTGTATTATTTAAATTATTTACACTTATATCAGAGATATATTTTTGGAATGTGTGTTATTTATTGAGTATTTATGTTATGAAGGAGACAGTTTTTGTCATAAAACTGTCTCCTTCACAACATATCCGGTTCAAAAATGTCCCCTTTAAACAAATTTGAAGGGTGCCGGGCGAAATTTTTGGGCAGAAATTGTTTAAACAATTTTTTAAACAAAGTCCAAAAATATTTTTTTTTGAATCTGAAAAATGTTTTTTTAGGTTACTTGGGCTATTTTAAACAAAAAAAGTCTCTTGTCATTTTTCTCTAAAGTTGATAGTTTTCGAGTTATAAGCGATTTAAAATCTGAAAAACGCGAAAATACGCATTTTTGAGGCTTGAAAACACATATGTAAATTACTATTTTTGAGGTTACCAAGTGTCTAAATTAAAGTTAAAACATTCAGCTTCAAGATTGTGAAGAGTAATCGGGGCTTATTTTAATTTAGACCGTTGTTTTTTAATTGTTAAATATGCGCGTACACTCGATTTTTCAGGCGCCGCGGCGATCGTACTTATGCATAGTTTACATATACTTACAAATAATTATTATTTATTGAGTACTATATTTATTTATATCAATTGAGTTATAATATAAATTTCGTCTAAAGTCTAATAATAGTTACATAAAATAATTGTACTAAATATTGTTAAATAACGCACTAATATCACTCAGTAAAAGTATCTTTGTTTTCACAAAAATCTAAATCACATCCACATAATGGTACACAGTTGACATGATTTTTCTTGCAGTTGCAAGCATTAGTTTTGCAAGTCTTTTTGCATTTTCACGGTTTCTCAACCCACCACTATCAGACATATAATATCCATATTGTGTAAAATCGAGAGTTTGATAGCGGGAATATATGGCATTTCGCCAAATATATGTTTTAGCGAAAGCTCTTAACAAGTGTTGGTAAAGTGCGTCAGAAGTACAAGGTATATTGGCTAGATTAAATTAAATTTTTCAGTCACACTGTCTTTTCGTCGAAGAGCAGTATTTTGTATTGTTATGTAAAAATCTACTTTAGGTTTTTGCACTAACTTAATATTGTTGATGTTATTACAAAAAATACAAACTAAATTTTCTTCGGTAAGTTTTCATTTAAGAAGAGGTAGGGAAAAAGACATTTTAAATCCATTCACAATTTTTTTAATAACACATTAATAATATAATACTCTTTTAATTGGCATTAAACAATAGTCTTCGTAATGATCGTTTAAGTAATAACAAATCAAGTATGAGCGCGCGATTGTTAAACAGGTAAAAATTTGCATTTTTGCGATAGTGTATTGTTTTTAAACACCGCGCAATTTAAAATTAAGTTTACTAATATTAATATTTACTGCATTGTATTATTTAAATAATAATTTAAAAATATTATTTACAATTGATATAAATAAATATATACTCAATAAATAATAATTATATTGTTCAAATTTGGAAGAAAAAAAAACTATATACGGTTATTACATTGCGATGATTGATTTATTTAATTAGCCCAATGACAATAATTAATACCTA